GTGTTTGGTGAATCCCCCTTCTGTTTGTGGAAACTAGGTTTAGCTTTGTATCCGAGGAAATGAATAATTTGACATGTTGAGATTCTAATTACATGATCAAATTGATTTTATTGTGAGCAGTTTTAGTTTTTGATCCTGTTTTTCAATTTAAAACAGATTTTATAAGTAAAAACTCAATTAATTGTATTAATATTTACTAATGGAATTTCCGTTTTCACATGTGCAAATCAAATTTCTGATTTCATGAATTATATATTTACTACAACCCCACTTCCAAAAAAGTTGAGACAAAATATAAACAAAAACAGAATGCAGTACACGTGCACATCATTTAAACCCTACATATAATTGAACAGAGTACAAAGACATAAAGTGATGAAACTTTATTGAAATTTTATTGATTGAACCATCTAGTTTTTTGAAAAAGATATGCCCATTTTGAAATTGATGCCAGCAACACGTTGCAAAAAAGTTGGTACATGTTTACCACTGTGCTGCATTCCTCTTCTTTGAAAAACACTATGTAAGTGTTTGGAAACTAAGAAGACTAATTGCTGTAGTTTTGAAAGTGAAATGTTTTCCCATTCATGCTTGCTATAGGATTTCAGGTGCTCAACAGCTTGGGGTCTCCTTTGTCATGTTTTTCATTTCGTAATGCACCGAATGTTTTCAATGGGTGACAGGTCTGGACCGCAGGCAGGCCAGTTTAGCATCTGGACTCTTTACTACAGAGCCATGCTGTTGTAATACATGCAGAATGTGGTTTGGAATTGTCTTGCTGAAACAAGCAAGGCCTTCCCTAAAAAATTGTTGATTTCCACTACAGAATCGTGTCTGTTTTTAATACAGTGCTGCCCGAGGTCCCAAAGATAATGGCCAGCAAATATTGTTTTTTGGCATTCGTCCCTTGCATACAGAGATTTTTCTGGATTCTCTGAATCTTTTATTGGTATTATTTACGGTAAATGATGAAATCCCCAAGTTCTTTGCTATTTTATGTTGAGAAATGTTGTTCTGCACGTGCAGTCTTCCGCAGAGTGGTGAACCGCCTCCACGTCTTTACTTATTCAGGTGTTTTTTTAGCATTACACAACTTTACCAGACTTTTGTTGTCCCTTTCCCAACTTTTTTAAAACGTGTTGTTGGCATCAAATTCAAAATAGGCATATATTTTTCAAAAAACAATAATGTTTCTCAGTTTCAACATTTGATATATTGCCTTTGTACTATTTTTCAATGAAATATAGGGTTTAAATGATTTGCATTCTGTTTTTATTTACATTTTGCAAAGCATCCCAACTTTTTTGATAACGGGTTGTAGTTGACATTTAATTTTAACACAGGTAAATTGAATTCCTGAGATCAAGAAAAATAGAAAATAAAAGCTAAAATATATTGACTTGCCATAGTAATTAGACTTTTAGCATGTAACTTTAATTTTAATTTTTGTTTAAATAATAAAATGTTACACTTGAATTCATATTATTAAAAATCCTTACTGCAATTATCATGAACTGAAAAAAGGCTTGAAATCTTACCAATGAGAAATGAAAAGTTTAAAAATGAAAATGATTTTGTCTTTTTTCTAGTACAAATAACATTTGCTGATAGATTAACTTTATTTGATTAAAAATTAAAAGCATCTTTACCAAATAATTTACTATTATTTGTCAGCACTTCTTCCCTCAAAACATATAGCTCTGTTTCTGAGAATTTTCATTTTCTTTGTTTATGTTTATTTCTTATCCACTTTTGCTGCCAACCAGAGCTTCGCTTGGCTAATGAGTCCTATAAAATAATGTGTTAAATAAGCTAGCAGTACACAGAGGGTTTATCATTGCAGTAGTTTATGTACCTTTTGACATATCCTAGACTGTGACATCAGAGGGGACGAGCACAACAGGTAGGACCATGATGGTCATTGTTGTCATTATCACTTTTATTACTATAGCGCCTTTCCCATGCTCAAGGACACTTTACAATCAAAGAATATGAGCAAATTACACAGGATGTACACAGTTAACAACAAAAAAACATAGATGTTACATTTACGTGTAAGAGGAACACTGATAGCATAGTGAAAAGTATGTTCTTAACAGACATTTGAATGAAGATAGAGAGAGGAGGTTTCCCAAATAGACTTAGGGAGAGTTCTCCATAATTTGGGAGCTACTGCTTTAAATAATCAACCACCCATAGAGGACAGTTTAAACCTTGGAGCATGAAGAAGGCCTAAATACCTTGACCATAAGGTACAGGATGGGACATATAAATGAAGAAGCTCAACCAGATATTGAGGACCCAGACAGTACGGAGCTTTATATGTAATAAGAAGAACCTCTTACTGAACAAGGTAAAAAGTGAATTATCTGAAGGGCAGGGGTGATATGGTCAGTCTTAATCAAACAGATGAAGATTCTAGCAGCAGTATTCTATAAATACTTTAACCTACTAAGGGCTTTATTAGGGAGACTGGATAAGAGAATGTTACAGTAGTCTGTAACCACACCAGCAGCCTTTGCACCGTTCTTTGGAGAGTATATATTTGAATTTCATATGTTGAAAATTAAAATGACAAACACTACACATTTTAATAGTGTACATGCAGTATTCACTACAATTTGTGTCTACATGGTTGTCTGTGGAGCTTTGAGTCAGTGAGGACTAAGCTACAGTTAGGCCCAGAAATATTTGGACAGTGACACAAGTTTTGGCATTTTAGCTGTTTACCAAAACATATTCAAGATACAGTTGTATAATCAACATGGGCTTAAAGTGCGGACTCTTTAATTTGAGGGTATTCACTTCCTAATTGGAGGAAGGGTTTAGGAATTACAGCTCTTTTAGTATGTAGCTGCCTCTTTTTCAAGGGACCAAAGGTAATTGGACAATTATCTCAAAAGCTATTTCATGGGCTGCATGGGCTATTCCCTCATTAATCCATCATCAGTTAAGCAGGTAAAAGGTCTGGAGTTGATTCCAGGTGTGGCATTTGCCTTTGGAAGCTGAAAAAAAGAAGAAATCCATCAGAGAGATATCAGAAATTTTAGGAGTGGCCAAATCAACAGTTTGGTACATTCTGAGGAAAAAAAGAGCGCACTGGTGAGCTCGGGAACTCAAAAAGGCCTGGACGTCCACAGAAGACAACAGTGGTGGATGATCGCAGAATCCTTTCCATTGTAAAGAAAAACCCCTTCACAACATCCACCCAAGTGAAGAACACTCTCCAGGAAGTAGGTTTATCAGTATCTAAGTCTACCATAAAGACTTCATGAGAGCAAATACAGAGGGTTCACCACAAGGTGCAAACCATTAATCAGCCTCAAAAATAGAAAGGCCAGATTCAATCAAATGCAGCAAGGTTGATTGGACGTTGCTTCACAGTACAGATGGACATTGACCCAAAACATACTGCGAAAGCAACCCAGGAGTTTTTTAAGGCAAAGATGTGGAATATTCTGCAATGGCCGAGTCAATCACCAGATCTCAACCCGATCAAGCATGCATTTCACTTGCTTAAGACAAAACTTAAGGCAGAAAGACCCACAAACAAGCAACAACTGAAGACAGCTGCAGTAAAGGCCTGGCAAAGCATCACAAGGGAGGAAACCCAGCGTTTGGTGATGTCCATGGGTTCCAGACTTCAGGCAGTCATTGCCTGCAAAGGATTCTCAATAAAGTATTAAAAATTAACATTTTATTTATGGTCAAGTTAATTTGTCCAATTACTTTTGAGCCCCTGAAATGAGGAGGCTTTGTAGAAAAATGGTTGCAATTCCTAAACATTTCATAGGATATTTTTGTTCAACCCCTTGAATTAAACCTGAAAGTCTACACTTCAATTGCATCTCAGTTGTTTCATTTCAGATCCAATGTGGTGGCATGCAGAGCCCAAATCATGAAGATTGTGTCACTGTCCAAATATTTCTGGGCCTAACTGTATGTCATCATCAAATCGTTTCTTGGAAAAAAGACACATTAGTGCAAATGAGACAGTTCAGATTTGTAGAACAGTTGTGGATTTTTGTTGCTTTTTTGCAGAATTTATTCAGACATAGGGTACCCATAGGACAGCTTTGTTTTTGGCCATAAAGTTCTAAAACTCCAATACTTTAGGTTAGTCATTTATAATAATAAATATTTAAGTATTTATTAAAGAGTAAGTTATGCAATCACAATACAAGCCAAACAGCCTTCTGCAACATTACTACCTGTGTGATTTGGGAATTTGTGAGCAGCATATGCGGAGGGTAAGTGATGGCAAATCTTTATAGGACCCCCCCACGGTTAACTCCAAGCCAGCAGTGTCACGGATTCTCCCTTTGTCTCTCTGAGAGTGTCTGTTTCTTTCCCTCTGTGGTAGCCATGTGCCTTTTTGTTTTCTTGTACCATGTGCTTTTGTTCTTGTTCTGTGTCTCCTCCCTGGTCCTGCCCCCTTGATATCTGCTCCACCTGTCTGTGCTCCGCCCCTCATTAGTCTCAGGTGTTTCTTATTTTCCCTCAGTGTATTTATACCCATGTGTTTGTTCAGTATTTGTCTTGCATTGTGGATGTACTTGTGGATATTACCTTGTCTCTTGGTTTCTTTCATCTTGTAGTTTGGTTTTGTTTTTGTCATGGACTTGTCTATTCTTCAAACCTCTGCTACTCTGGACTCTGCTAACTCTAATTTATAATAATAATAATAATAATAATAATAATCTCTAATAACAGCAACTCGCATTTGCATCCTGCCTCCTTGCCTCCACAGTTACAAGTAGTCTATGATGTACAAGCTAAATCTGTATGCACAGCAATATAAAATTGTTTTTTGACCTCGGTATTAAATATTTATATTTGTTTTTGGTAAAGATGTTTTATGACATTTGTTTGCTTAGTTAAATACATTTCAGAGGACATGTTTACAAGTGCTTAAGTAATTGAGGAGTTATTTCATCCTGCTGCATACAGTATGAGGAACTTGTATTTGTTTCTTAATGACCTTGTGCTTTTCCTTGCAGAATTTCAGACCAATCAGCAGTGGCTTCAGCCCTGTTCCCAAAAGCCTGTCCCCCCAAAAGCGCCACCTCTTTTGTGCCCATCAACAATGGCAATTCAAGGCTTGTGCCACAGTACAACAACCCTGTTGGCCTATTCACAAATAACAATGGCAACAGTGCCTTACCCAAACATATGGCCAGTCTCAGCCTCAGCTTTTCAAACAGGTATGTCATAATCTTATTTGTGAAGAGTAATCTTCTGGCTATCCCTTTGCCTAAACTACACAAAGAATCACACACAAACATTTGCAGACAATAAAGGTGTATGTACGCACTCTCAGGTTGCACCTAGCTTGGTCTTTCCAGCTAAAAGACAAACAGTAATGTAACTGCTTTGTTGTCAGCCGATGGAGTGCAGTGAAAAAAATGATGAATTGGAGAAGCAAATTTGAGTGTTTTAGTCAATAATGGTAAAGTGTCAAGTGTCCAGTACACTAGCATATGTTTGTGGTTTATGTGCTTAGGCTCTCTATTTGGTAACTGTAATAATGGTATTCATGTCATTGAAAATACTATTTGATTATAATGACTATTTGATTATAGTGTTTTATTCCCTAGAGATTCTGAAACTTTGGTATTAAAAATGGTCTTAAAAGTGGAACCACTATTAAGAGCCCAGTTTATGTTGAAAACCAGTCCTTTATTATTTGTAAATTGGGTTTTTGTTTCTTAGGGGCAGTTGTGAAGTTAATTACCGCATAAAATGATTTGATCCAGTGCAGCCTCTGTAATGCTCAATTTTGTTTACAAAAGGAACATAATTTTAAGTTGGATTACATTTGACATGATAGAGGAAGTTGCCATTCTTATGATGGGTAAATGCTTCATTTACATTGTACCACCTAAAAGACTTGACCTCTTTTTCCTAAGCCCAGAGCCAGCAGTGCAGTACCCTGGTGTTCACAATGGTTTTGACACAGAGTCTGATGTCTACAAGATGCTGCAGGACCATGAAAAGCCAGTGTCTGTACCCAAGCAGTCTGGCTCCTTTAAGTATTTACAGGGAATACTGGAGGCTGAAAATGGAGGTGAGCACAACCGACCCAGGTTTCAGTTGAGCCAAGACGAAATAATATAGTGCCGTAATCTCAAACTTTTTTCCAAATTTAAAAGCAAATTTAATTTCATTTAAAAAAAAAAATTGCAATTCAATCATGTAGCATTTCCTATGCGAGTGTGGATAATTTAACGTATAATTCATATATACATATATATTCAACATAGCCCAGTATTGAACACTACATGCTAGTGTCAGGTTCAAAAGCCTGAGTCTGTCATGGTTTAGAGTTGTATTAGTGCCCATGGCATGGGTATATAGTGAAAGGTATTGCAATGTTGTGCTTTCTTGTTGATGTGTACATATTCTTGCTATTGTTTTGAAATAGCGATACACAGGTCTGTAAAATGTATTTTGAAAAAAAATATGCCACTACATCACTGTCCAAATTCAGTCTCCACTTTTTTTAAACTTGTCCATTCAGGCTTAGCTTTACAGACACTGAGTACAAGGATAAGGGCTGTTGTCAGGCACAATGTGAGGAGTACAATTGCTGTAACACACTGGCTTATTGCCTTATTCTTTTGCTTTTTCTATGTGGATTTGCCTCTGGTCTTTCATTAGTTGCATAAATAAGCGAAACCAGAATGCTGATTTACATCGCTTATTTCAGTGTCATAAGCCAAGTATGTTTACTTTTTAAACTTTCAAGTTTCAATACTTTATTGCAATATTAGTCAGACTACTAGGAATTTCTTTAATTGCTGTTCAAACACACAAACAATACATATTCATTCACAAAATAAAAAAGTTTAAGATTTTGGAGTGGAGTTCAAAAGCCTGATAGTGGAAGGGTTGGTACTATTTGAGATGTTCTGCATAAGATGCTTTGAAACTTTGAAATACCAGACACATATAGAAAAGATCAACACACTTTTCACAATAGCTCCATTAAACCGTATCATACAGTCTATAGTCACATCAAAGTTCTTAAGCTGTCTCATAAAGAAAAGACTGTGGGGCACCAGTATTAAGAATTTGAAGAGTGGAAAGCACTTTGTTCATTTTAACGACCTGCACGAAGACTGGTGAACATCAAGCATCTGAAGCTTATCAAAGAGTCTTAAAGGCATTATTGTATTAAATGCTGAGCTATAATCTTTAAATAGATTCATGTAGATGTGCCTGGTGCTTCCAAGTGTTGCAAAATAGAATGGGAGCAGAGTGACACAGTATCCTCAGCTGACCTGTTCACCCTATCTGTTCCAACACCAGAGAGATGACAAAATCAGTCTTTCAAAAACTTTCATAATAACTGAAGTAAGAGCTATAGGTCTGTAATCATTGAAAGAGGTTTCACTGGACTTTTAGGAACAGGGACAATTCCTGTGTTTTTAAAATATAATAGGACCCTACATGTTTTCTGTGACAAAAATATATGTTTAAATATTAGTGAGTCAGCACAGAGCTTTTGGGTGGCTGGAAAGACTTGGTCAGGTAACTAAAATTGTGCTTCAAGAACAAAGATGTGACTTTATATTCTTTGGTAGTGAAAGGTGATGCAGAGATAGCCACGGATTGTGCATTAATTTGCCTACACTGTTATAAATAAAGGGGATTTTTCATTCATCAAGGTACAAACAAAGTAAATGTGCCCTCAAAGGTACAACTGTGGTTTTAGGGTCCAATTGTGTACCTTAAAGTTTTTCCCAGTAGAAAAGTATGTATTTGTACCTTTTAACATAACCTAATATTTTAAACAGAACAATACAATGAAAAGCATGAAGACAAGATGGGGTGTGTGGCGTCAATACAACTTAGAAAATATAATTTCAGTTGATAACAGTACAGTTATGTCCCTGAGGTACAGTTAAAGGTCCTGAGATATACCCTTGAGGGTCCCACCCCAGTGATAAGAGAGGTACTGCCCCAGTGACAGTTTTGTACCTTTTTTTCTGAGTGTGTACATTTTTGTAAATCAAATCTGCAATCAAAATCATTAAGCTGGTCAGGAAGCAAGAAATCAAAACCTGACCATATTTTCGATCTTGTAGTCAGTATCTGCTGAAGATATTTCCATGCGTTCCTGACATCTTCTTCTGTTTGCATTTTCTTATTTTATTTTATATTTTGTCTTTGTCTGCTTTGTCGCCCTCTGAAATTCATACTTGGCTTTATGTAGCTCTTAATCGCCACTGTTAAAAGCAGCGTTCCTTTTCTTATATAAAATCTTAATCTCCTTGGTGAACCATGCCTTATTACTAAAAAGTTATTGTCTTAGTTGGAATAGAAACACCCTTTGGAAAAAAAAGGGAATACATGATGTAAATGTGTCTGCAAATTCATCCAAATCATAATGACATTCATCTCTAAAGACATTCCAGTTCGTTGTACTTAAACAGTCATTGAGCATTTCTGTTGCTTGTGGGACAAAAATGCATTTGATACAGCCTGTGCTACTATACCAAGATGGTGGCTGCAGCTGTCAAGAATGTCTAGATTCTTCAGTTTGCTTCTATGTAGACAGTGCTTAACATGTTCTGGCCAATGATTTGTGTAACATCGCTCTTATTAATAGCTCACTGATGTTAAAGGAGATTAAAAAAGAGGAGAGAGTAATGCCTTCAAAAAAGATTTATTGTTTGTAATCCACCCTGGACTGTGTAGAGCTTACTTGTTGTTGACAAGAGTCTACAATCTACTGAATGCTCACAAGACTTCTCTTTCTCATTAAAATTTTATGTGAAATACTAAATTTCTCTTACTGAAGTGAGTTGCATTACTGAATAATAGCTACCAAATCTTTTTTTCAGATATGCAAATATATAACAAATGTATATGCTTTTCTCTATGAACATGTCTCACTATCAATAGCACAGGTTCTGTTGTTTCCACTGTGTGTCATTAATTGATGTTTTATCACTGTTCCCTTAGCGTTTATTAAATATATACATTTTCATTCTTACATAGAAAATGTCACTGGAGTGAGTGGGGGGCCCAGATGTCTAGAAATGGCCCTTCTCTGAGGGTACAGGGATCAGGTCTTTAAGTTTATAATTCAGGCAGTCAGTCAACCTTTATTTAAACTCTGGGTGACCCTCATTTACAATGTAGCCATTATACAAAAACATTATACAAAGGATTGAAAAGGGTAAATATACATTTGTGATTGTAAAAGTACAGCAAAGAAAATAAAATACAATAAAGTGATATACTAATAAAATGATAAAAGTAAACTCAATGACCAATCAAAAATAAATCAAGCAAGAGAGCAAATAAAATAGATAATATAAAATAAACTTAAAAAACTAAATCAACTAAAAGAGTTGCAGGCTGAATGGAGCTGGTTGGAGATTAAAAATGTTTTAAATAGTCAAAGGATACCAGCGAGTAGAGTTTTAGAGATTTATGTACTAAATGCCAGCTCACTGGTGCACTGTAGCTCAAAGCAGATTTCCCAGTTCAGTAAAAGTTTTTGGCACCTGAAGGGTGATCCAGTCACTGGAACAAGTTTGATAATTCCCATTATTTAAAAGAGAATTGTTGTGATGTTGCCAGTGAGTCTCTGTAGATAAACAGTAACCAATGTGTTTCGCGCCGCACTGCCAGAGAGGACCAGCCTACTTTTTGAAACAGTATGAAATAATGATCCACTCGTACCAGCACAACACACACTAACACACCACCACCACGTCAGTGTTACTGCAGTGCTGAGAATAATCCACCACCCAAATAGTACCTGCTCTGTGAGGGTCCATGGGGGCCCTGACCACTGAAGAACAGGGTAAAAGGGGGCTAACAAAGTATGCAGAGAAACAGATGGACTACAGTCTGTAATTGTAGAACTACAAAGTGCACCTATATAGTAAGTGGAGCTGATAAAATGGACAATGAGCATAGAAACAAGGAGATGGTCATAATGTTATGCCTGTTCAGTGTATATAGAATAAAATCGGACCCGGAAATGGACCTTGTGGAACAAGGTGGCGGCAGTAAATCAGATTTATGGTGTCCAGGGGCTATACACTGGTGCCTACCAGAAAGGTAATTCTGGGCCCAGGTTGTAGCTTTGGCATCAAAGCCAGTGTTTTGTGAGCTCTTTAAAAGTAGGCAATGATAAAGTGTGTTGAAAGCTTTGGAAAGGTCAATGAAAAGGGCTACACAGGCTTCTTTCTGTCTATGGCAGTAAAAAGGTTATTTAAAACAAGCGTGGCAGCAGATATGGCGCTGTGTTTTTCTCTAACACCAGACTGATAGCTGCACAGGACAGAGTATGCATAAGGGAAGGACCCGAGTCATTTACTAAGGCTTCAGTCGCTACATTCAAATTACAAGCCTCATTGCTCAATTCTAAATTTTTGCTCAGATCTGATCTTTCTAACATGATGGCTCACATTTGTGTAGGTAAGTGACTTAAATCTCGAATCAATAATGTGAATGAACCAGCATCCTGAAACAACCAGCATGCGCACATCTTTATCAGCAATGTCACATGAATAAACCAAATAAAGTAAACCAATAAACCAAACTAACCAGCAGGAAAAAGCCTTCGAGAAGAAGTGGTCCAGTTTATCTTCCCACAGTAGTTTTTCCAGGGTTAATAGTAGTAAGGTAAGTAGCTACTGCATGTGGAGAAAAGGGCTTGAGTGCGAAGAGATTATGGCTTACTGCAAAAGAATCAGAAGCATTAAAAGACAGTAAATTATTAATATCATCAAAAAGGTGTCCAGCAGTAGAGTAATGTGCATTGAAAGCTTGGCAGAACTCATTTTGGTCAGAGATTAAATGGTCATCAAGTAAAACACGGGTTGGAATAGGAAATTATTTGTTTTTAAGAGGATTTACTGCCTTCCAGAAATTGCAAGGGTTTGAACAACAGTTAGTCGTTAGGCAAAGAAAATAATCTGATTTGGCTTTTCAAGTCGAAGTACATTTATTTCTTAACTGCCTATATCTAAGACAATGCTCTCAAGCTCTGGTTCATCTGGCAAGGGTCCAAGCTTTTTAAGCAGGTAGGAATTTCAGTTTTACTATAGTGCCATGTCGATGTCTGAAATTTCAAAAATGGAGTGAAGTTACTAAGTCAGAAAGAAAGGCTTATTCATTAAAATATTTAAAAATTCTTCTAACCACTATCCATGGGCCTGTCTTTTTATTCTAGTATTTCTAATGCATCCGATAGAGCAGTGGACACTAAAACCGTAAACAAAAACACCAGAGGCAGTAATTTTGTCACTTTTTTAAATTTTGTCATATTACAACTCCAATTCCAAAAAAGTTGGGACGTTGGGTAAAACGTAACTGTAAAATAAAAACAGAATGCAATGATTTGCAAATCTCATGGACCAATATTTTATTCACAATAGAACATAACACATATCAGATCATGTCTCAGAAGTGAGACATTTTACCATTTCATGAAAACAAAACATTAACTCATTTAGAACTTGATCTCAAAAAAGTTGGGACAGGGGCAACAAAAGGCTGGAAAAGTAAGTGGTACTAATACAGCTGAAGGAGTAATTTGCAACTAACTCACATGACTGCATATAAGAAGAGCATTTTAGAGAGGCAGAGTCTCTCAGAAGCAAAGATGGGCAGAGGTTCACCAACCTGTGAAAAACTCCATCTAAAAATCTTTCAACAATTTCAGAAAAATGTTCCTCAATGTAGAATTGCAAGGACTTTGGATATCCCACTATGTACAGTACATAATATCATCAAATGATTCAGAGAATCTGGAGAAATCCCTGTACACAAGGGACAAGGCCGATGGTCAATATTGGATGCTTGTGATCATCGGGCCCTCAGATGGCACTGCATTCAAAACAGGCATGATTCTGTACTGGAAATCACTGCATGGGCTCAGGAACACTTCCAGAAATCATTGTCTGTAAACACAGTTCACCATGCAATCCACAAAGGCACATTAAAGCTGTATCATGCAAAGATGAAATCATATATAAACAGTATCCAAAAATGCTGCCAACTTCTCTGGGCCCAAGCTCAGGCTTTTTTAAGTTATTAACGATGAAATGTTCAAACTAAAAGTAAAAACACTAATGCAAAATGTTTGTGGAGATTTCCAACTGAAGGCATAAATGGTTATACTCCTAGTTTTGCTGAGATATCTCTGTTCCTATCTTCAGGTATTTCCCCAGTGGACAGAACTGGAGCAAGAGGTGTGCGATCACCAATCCGATCCCCTATTCTCAGCCCCATTACCCCTCTTGCTGGCTTACAAAAGCTGCCTCAATGCACACGCTGTGGTAATGGAATTGTGTGAGTATTACCCTTTCAGTAATTGTGTTGCTATGTAAATGTGTAAGCATTGCAATATTAATAGATGTGTTGGTCTTCTCCAAACATCTGATTAAACGTCTTATTTCTCTGGAACTTTAAACAACTTTACTCTAAGGGTGTCAAATTCAGATCATAGCATTAAGCTGAAAGCATATTAATATGGCTGTTGACCAAATAATTTAAAATGCACGCTTTTATTTGAGTTAGGAGAAATTACGTAGCTAGTGATGTCTATTCCTAATGTTAGCTAGTCAGTTTGGTAGCCAGCTAACTAAATTACTACCTCTATAAAACAGAGAACTAACTGAAAGGAATACAGTTCAATGTGTCAGTATATTACACGTCTTAATGTATTGCAGGTTTTAATGAAATGTTCATTAACAGATAAAGCCAACTGCTGACTTAGCATTCATTATTCCCTTTCAGAAACAAAATACAGAACTGATTTTCCATTGCATTATATGCTAGTGATGTTTTTGTCATTTCACAGTGGTACCATCGTAAAGGCCAGAGACAAGCTTTACCACCCAGAGTGCTTCATGTGTGATGATTGTGGTCTGAACCTCAAGCAGAGGGGCTATTTCTTCATTGAGGACAACCTGTATTGTGAGACCCACGCCAAAGCCAGAGTGCAGCCCCCTGAGGGCTATGACGTAGTGGCTGTCTACCCCAACTCTAAAGTGGAAATGTTCTGATCAGTCTTATCACATAAAGAAGAGGTTCTCAAGCCCATGATGTTCTGATGCCATGCAATTTACAGAACTCATTAGCATATTATCAGGGCCTTCAAGAACTAGATTAGGGTTAGGTTTGCTAGAGCAGTAGCATGGGGTCGCCAGGACTGGGCTTGGGAACCACTCATATAAACACACATACGCACTTATACACTTTATACACACTCACACACACACACGTACACACACACACTTATATGTGTGTATAACCTTTTAATTCACTTGTCTTAAGCAATCCATTCCTAAAAACTGTCTGTGTGAGACAAAAAAGAAACAGCTCCACTTTCTCTCAAAATTGCACCGTAATTTGTTGTAATGTCATTTGCCTGCTTTATTTTTCTCATCTGCTTTATTCTGAGTATACTCAACCAAGAAGCTTTTTCTTTGATAAGACAGAAAAACAGATTGCAGAAGGAACTTTGGCTGTGAGTAAAAGGGAAAACAACCAAGATATACCATAAGATTTTCAGGTAGTTATGCTGGTACATTGAATTCTGTATGTGTGTAAAGGCAAGACATTGTGATTGAGAAATCAGATGTAAAACGCTTTTCAGAATTGATGTTTCAGTTTGTTTGTTCTGTAAATCATCTGATTTATTGTAAACTCACTTACTATTACTTTGTGGAGTGCTTTAAAATTGTATTTTTAGAATTCAGAGGTTTTCAACAAACTAGATATTTTTTCTTTAGATGAAAAGCTAAAGACTAATATGTAGTGACTAAGATGTAGTGATTTTCTACTGTTACGAAAATTGTGTGCGCATGTGTCATTCATATATATATATATATATATATATATATATATATATATATATATATATATATATATATATATATATATATATATAAAATGTATATATGCACACACTTCTCCTTTTGAACTCCTAACACAGTATAACTTGGCCTTTTCCTGTTAATAATGATGAACTGCTAATTGATAGATGAGTTATTGCAAATATTTAATTTATTGTTGTGCCATCACTGTTTGTTCTGTTTTTTAGTTACTGTGTTTTTAGTACAAATAAATTAGCAGGATGCCAAAAAAAAGTATTTTTATACAGTATCATTTTATAGCAACCTGTGGCATGACCGAGCACCGTCTGTGGAGCGGGAAGCTGGTCCCGGCAGAGCAGCAGGTTGATAGGTTATGACGTTTACCTGTGCACAGTTCTCTTTCTGCCTACTAATAGATGTCTCTTGCACTCTGTAGGTGTTGAGAGAGGAGCCCCAAGGTGCAAAAGATAAGCCTTAGATGCCTGACAGTTAACAGGCTTTATTTTTGTGTTTGAGAGCTAGAAGCTCTCAAGTGTCATTTGTTTGTTTTAATAAAGTACAAAACTCTTTGTCTCTACTCTTGCCTCTGTTGTTCTCCCTCACCATGCCAGGGTGTCACACAACCCTAGGGACATTTTTATGGCATTTGGTCATAAATAATGTGGCTCAGCATGTAAAAATGCTTGCAGAGGGACGATAAGTTGTATTTTTTATCAGGACCCCAGCTGAGGAGTCACTGTTAATCCAGAAAGTGGTGTTAGTTTGCTGTTCCCACCAACTCTGAGAACTTTTCCTTTACTAGGCCCTGCTGGTTGTTAAATTCTAGTGCCACTTTGGCCATTCTCTGCTTTGATAATAATGCTGCATTCAGTTTTGCTATAATGGAAGTCTGTGCTTTTAAATGAATATCCAACAGTAAAACCTGCCAAAATCTGCCCTTTCACTGCAGCTGACTGGACTTCTTTCATAGGGCAGCTTTTCACTTGATAACTTCTACCCTTCCATCAGTACAAGACAATAGTCCTAAGATTGGCATGCAGCCTTAGAGGATGGAACTTTGAGGACAACTGTCAGGGTCAGCACCCTGAATCATGGCTCCTTTTCATGGATCATTTCAATCAGAACCTGAAGATCCCTATGTAATACAGTTTTCTCTCTCTCTCTCTCTCTCTCTCTCTCTCTCTCTCTCTCTTTCTCTCTTTCTCTCTTTCTCTCTCTCCTGTTGCATGCTGGGAGTTTGACTGAGAGTGGTGTGGGGTGAGACTCTTGGTGAGAGTGACTGCTACTTTTTCACTTTTTTCTTCTTCTAAATCGCATGATTTGGTGAGTACTTTGTGCTGGTTTGTTGTTGTGGTGTGTGAGTTGTGGCAGGGATGGTGTCTCTTGAAGAGACACCATCTTTGTCCCTCCGCCATGGCTTCAGGTGTGTGCCTGAAGATAGTGTAATGGTGGAAGATGTTCTCCTTGCTGTAGGAGAGCAGGTTGGTACTGAACACATTATGTCTGCATCTCGTATGAATAAAGCAGTGGTGGTCTTTCTTAGAGAAACCCACCTTGTTAGCCGGCTAATTGAAAGTGGCATAGTTATAAATGAAATGTTTGTGCAGGTCACGCCACTGTTGGCTCCCTCCACAAAGATCACTGTTTCAAATGTACCGCCGTTTATACAGAATGAGGTGCTGGAACGTGAGCTTTTACGATTTGGTAAGATTGCTAGCTCATTTAAGATGGTTTCGCTTGGCTGTAAAAATCCTTCACTTAAGCATGTTACGTCTTTTAGGAGGCAGGTTTACATGTTTTTAGACTCTCCTGATCACACACTTGATGTTTCCTTCCGTGTAAAACATGACGGGCGGGCCTACATGGTCTATGCTAGTTCAGGCAGCCTGCGCTGCTTTGAATGTGGTGATATTGGACATAAACGGTTTGCATGTCCGCACAGGAGGCAAGAAGAGGGAAATGTTAATGTTAGGTCTGAGGTAGGTGCTGCTGTGAGTGCAAATGTTGGTCAGGGGGAGGCCGTCGGGCCTTCTCAGGTGGGCCATGCTGAAGCTTTGATAGAGCTGCCTGCAGTGTCTGAGCAAGAGAACCAGAGTGTGGACAATGCAGTGCCCAGTACGAGTGGTGTCATACAGTTGAAAGGCAACATAGAAATGAGTGATCTGAATGAGAGGACAGCTGAGACCAGTGCTGCTGGTTTGAATGATGTTGAATTGAGGCTGGATGAATCCTTTTCTGATGAAGGGGGTGCTTGTTTGCAGGAGAACCCTGGTGAACTTGGGGCTTCCCAAGAGTGGCCCTGTAGTGGTTTAGAAGTCAGTTCTCAGGGAGCTTCACAGGTGGATCAGTCAGTTTATACTTTGGATGAAGTTAACAGTTTTTTAGATGAGACCTACGGAAAACAGGTTAATGTGAAAGATTTTTTTCCTGATATGGAGAAGTTTGTCAGGTCGGTTTCACTGCTCCAGAAGACTGTGGGTCTTGACCTTTTGAATGAGAAAAAGCGCTTTCGGCTAAAGAAACATGTTACACACATACGTAAGTATGGTAAACTGGTGAAGAAAAAGTCTTCCAGTCATCTGTGATAAATTGATCATGCGTCACGTGGTGTCTCTACCTCCTATGTTTCTGTTCTTTCTCTTGGCTCTTCTCTTAGGTCTATTTATGGAAGTTTTAAGAGTAGGTTCTTTTAACATAAATGGGGGTAGAGATAGACTGAAACGTGCTTTAGTATCTGATACTATACAGCAGAAAAGACTGCATGTTACTTTCCTTCAGGAGACACACAGTGATGTGGATAATGAAGTTGAGTGGGCTATGTGGTGGGAGGGACAGCATGTGTTGAGTCATGGCACCAATTTGAGTGCTGGGGTGGCGATTCTTTTCTGTCCTTCATCAGGGGTTAAGATTTTGCACACAGAAGAGGTCGTGAAAGGTCGTCTTGTAGTGGTCAGGGTTGAAATTAAAGGCATTCAGTTCTCCTTTGTGAACGTCTATGCCCCCAATGTGGGGCATGACCGTGTTGTATTTTTTAACACTTTGCACACTACTTTAAGTCGGTGTGCTAATGATGGATTTACTGTCATTGGGGGGGACTGGAACTGTACGGTGGATTTTACCATAGACCGTACTTCTGAAGAACCTCACATACAGTCTTCTGTGTGCTTGTCTAAGCTCCTGAAACAGTTTAGGTTGTTGGACATGTGGAGAGTTAAGAATCCTGTAGCTAGACAGTATACATGGGTCAAGGTCTCTGATAATAGAATTAGTGCTGCTCGGCTAGACCGAATTTATGTGTCTACACATCTTGGCAGTAGAATCACTGAGGCTGTCATTTCTCCTGTGGGGTTTTCTGATCACCACTTGGTTTCTATCACGGTGAGCTTGTCACGCATTTCTAGTGCACCTTCATATTGGCATTTTAATGTGAAGCTGTTGCACGATGCAGTTTTTTGTGCAAGGTTCATGTGCTTTTGGGAACAGTGGAAGACCAAAAAAGTTGATTTTGAAAATTTGAGACAGTGGTGGGAAATGGGCAAGGCACAGATAAGAATGTTTTGTCAACAGTATACAGCCAATTCAAGTACAAGAGCAAGACTGACTGTCCAGGCTCTCGAGAGGGAGATACGCTCTCTGGAGCTTGGACTGACTGCTACTCATGACCCTGTTATGTTGGGAAAGTTGCAGCAGAAGAGGAAGGAGCTCAGTGTCTACTTGAATGAGAGGGTGAAGGGGGCCTTGGTGAGATCCCGTTTTACTACACTCGCAGACATGGACGCTCCAAGTGCCTTCTTCTTCAATCTGGAACGTTCAGTAGCACAGCACAAGCAGATGGTCTGTCTTCGCCTTCCGGATGGACGAGTGTCTACTGATGTCACAGACATGCGTAAACATGCAGTGGATTTTTATTCTGCTCTTTACACTGCAGAACTCTGTGACTCTGACTGTGTTGCGCAGCTTCTTCAAGGACTCCCACAACTGGACTCTGAATCCAGAGATGAGCTAGACTCTCATCTGACTCTGCAAGACCTCACTGCTGCGGTTGGACAGCTCAACACAGGACGGTCTCCAGGCATTGATGGCCTGCCCTCTGACTTTTATAAGCATTTCTGGGACTGTATTGGGGGAGATTTTTATGAAGTAATCTGTGAATGCATTAGGGAAGGGGTTTTACCTGGTTCATGTCAGCGTGCTGTGTTGTCTTTGTTGCCAAAAAAGGGGGACCTCTCTCTTTTAAAGAATTGGAGACCAGTTGCTCTTTTAACCACTGATTATAAAATCCTTTCCAAATGTTTAGCCAATAGGCTCAAAAATTACTTGTCTTTGGTAGTGCATAGGGACCAGTCTTACTGCATTCCTGATAGATCGATAATGGACAACCTGTTCCTTGTGCGAGATGTATTGGATTGCTGTAAGGGTTCTGATAAGAGTGTTGGGCTGGTTTCTCTTGATCAAGAGAAAGCCTTTGACCGTGTTGATCACCAGTACCTTTTTAATGTGCTTAAGGCTTTTGGCGTTGGGGATGGTTTTTTAAGTTTGGTGCGTTTACTGTATTCTGGTGCTGCATGTTTGGTTAAGGTGGGGGGTGGGTTGAGCAGACCAATCCCAGTCACAAGAGGAATTAGGCAAGGCTGTCCTTTATCAGGTCAGCTATACAGTCTAGCTATTGAACCGCTGCTCATCTGTCTGAGGAGGAGATTAGCTGGCTTTCAAGCTGCACAGGGATTTAGGGGTCCAGGGGCAGCACTATCTGCCTATGCTGATGATGTAACGGTTTTTATCAAAAACAGTCAAGATGTTCAGGTTTTAGTTGAGTCCCTCAACTTGTATGAAAAGGCTTCTTCTGCCAAAGTTAACTGGGAAAAGAGTGAGGCTCTTTGGGTAGGCCAGGAACAGATGGAAAGGCTACCACGTCTGCCTGGGACTTTGAAGTGGGGCAGAGAGGGGTTGAAAATTTTGGGTGTCTTCCTGGGGACAGATGACTTTCAGAAGAAGAAC